AACGATTAAATAATTTATTAGAAAGAATGTTAGAAAAAATAAATAATATTATATCTCAATTAAAAAATTCAAATTTACCATTTGAAGAATATAGTACTTTAATTAGAAAATATGAGATGAATGTTGCAGATTATTCTTATTTATTAGATCAAGAATGTTAGAAAAAATAAAGAATATTATATCTCAATTAAAAAATCCAAATTTACCAGTTGAAGAATATAGTACTATGATTAGAAAATATGAGATGAATGTAGCAGATTATTCTTATTTATTAGATCATAGAATGATTTTATATTCAAATATTCAAAATAGAGTGAATAGAAGATAAAATGTTTAAAAGATTAAGACATATATTGTAATATAGAAAGAATCATTTCATTAAGGGTAATATAGATATTTCCATAAAAAGAAACAATGATAGGCCAATTAGGAAAATCCCCCCGAAAACCTTTGGGATGAAGCGTGAAGATAACAATTTATTCACGGGACATCAATGCCACGTAAATCGAATTGAGAATGGAATGCATTAGAGATGCTCCAAGAACAAAATTTTGCCAGAAATACAATAAATACTCAAGATTTACCACCACATCACAACTTTCAAATTGGTTGCAGCAACAGAATAAGATTCCCTAACTTAATACAGAAACACACCAACCCGGATCACCAGGTGTGCATACTATTACGTATTGGAGCGACTAACTGGCTCTGAACGAGGACTTGATCCCTTTCAACTAACTACTGAATCTCTGACCTTACATCAGAAGTCCAGTGTTCCACATTGTTTGCTCTGCATATTCTTTGTTCCATTAGTTTGTTTTGTATCTTTATTTGGTTCATTACTGAGGACCCGGCTACGCCCAATACCCAGCTTGGGCAAACCTCGATTCAGACCCTCCAGCAAAACGCATGCCTTACACCATTTCTGCAGACATATATCAACGTAGATAAGCAATACATACTGGTTACTGGTTTTACCGAATCAGTAAACTCAACAGACTCTCCATACTTCAATTCTTGTATAACTATAATACAAGACTAGTATACAAAACCCCAGAGGATATTTCGCAACAGTACCATTCTTCAGGAAATGCGGATTAAAAATTGTCTCCAAATATATGTGACAGAGAGAGAGAGAGAGAACAGATTGATGCTAAAAAAAAAAAAAATTAACCAGAATCCAATCACAAGTAGTTTAACAATGACAGTTGAGGAAACACATGTTTAATAGAGAGGCAATGGGAAAAGTATCGTCACCTGGCTTGAAATGTAACCACATCTTTCACAATTTCCCTGTTCTGGCATTTTTGTAGAAGCAGAGATCCTGAAATCTTCACCTGATTTGATAATGTCAAGTATAGCTCTTGGTCTACAATGTTAATCCACCGATTATAAATTGAGATTACAGGACCACAAAAAAACAATAACTCCATTGAATCATGGAAAAGATATTGTTTCCTAACCTTATCCTCTCCAAATCTTTAATGAACTCCCGAACAAATCCACGGTAAGCATTTGGGGAGTATATGCCTGCAATTTCAAAAGGAAATACAAATTCAAACAGAGGAGCAACCAGAGGCATAAACCATGGCATACTGCACAAAATCATAACTAAAAGGGGGATATAGGACCTGAGCCTCCCCCCTCCCCCCCACAACCCAAAAAAAATGTAGTTCCCCAAGAGGTATAAATATATACAACAAATCCAAGACAAAGCAAAAAGATATAGGAAAATAATATAGGTAGAATCTTTATGATGCATATGCTATTGACAAAACTGAGAAAAGGCCCCGACTCAGGTAATTTATCCAGTAAAAGAAAGCATTATAATTTCCTCAGCCTCAAAGATACAGTCCATAGTAAGCTAGGAACACTTATTTGGAAGTTCAAGATAAGTAACTATCAACTAGCCACTTCCATTAGATTGGATACCTATGATGCATCAGTGTGGAGTGTCAACATGCTGACACAAGATTTTTTAAAAAAAGTAACACATTGATTAAATTCTTAAAAAATTCTTCATTTATATAGTATAAATTTAATTTATACTTGCTATTATTTTTGTTGTTGAAATCTTTTCAATATGAGTATCTATTTGTTATTTAATAATAATTTTGAGTTAAAAATATGTAATATTTATGAAAAAGAAGAAAAATAACCATGATAGTATCCAATGAGTGTCGGTATCCGACACGTGTGCAACACAATTGGATCCTCCTCTTAGCAAGAGAATCATGAACAGAGGGAGAGAACCAAATAGTAAAGAAGAAATAACCAGACAGAAAAGAGACAAGATTTACAGAGAAAACAACGGTGAGTTTGGATATAACAGCAAGGACCTTGTACTGAGACTTACATTCGGTAGAGAAGTAATCCAGTCTTTTAAAGTATGCATACGTGACAGTAGGTTAAGGTCTTGCAATTAGTGCTGATAGTTAATGAGAAAAATATAAATGGACATGTATTTAAAAATAGCTGCAACAAATAAAGAAAATACAATGTAAAACCCAGTAAATTCAACTGAAAGGATATATCACAATTTCCTTCTCGTAGGTGTACTTAAATGGCTTGCATCTCGGAATTGGTCCATCTTCCCCAGTGGTTATTGATGTGCATCTACTCAGCCTGATACAGAGAAGAGGAAGAATGAGGAGAAAACTATATTCACATGGTCCACCTAACCTGTCTGTCTGTCATGCTATCAAGTCTTCAAATAAGAATGTATTACCTAGCAATGTCACCTCGTAATATGTTCAAGAGGACAGTTTCAGCAATATCATCCGCGTTGTGCCCAGTAACTAGCTTGTCAACTTTCAACAGCGCAGCACCTCGATCAAGGGCCTTAAACACAGAAAAATTACCATGATGTAATTTACTGGTTCTGAAAGCTTGTTTGGCACAAGGTTTGCCAACTGAAAAATTAATTTTTTTGGAGAACGTATGGTTAAAGGTGGGAAAAAGTTGTGAGTCCCATGGATTGTGTGGTTGAAAATAATTTTGCGAAAAAATGATATTAAAAAATAAACCTGTGCCAAGTAGCCAGGGCGACATGAATTTCAAAAAACAAAATTTCGCCGATATAAATCACGTTAACGACCAAAATGAACACAAGATAATGAAAAGTAATTGAGCTATTTCCAGGACTAAATTTAGTCTCATCACTAGCATTACAAGACATATATGTTACAAAAGCAGAAGTGCAGAGTGTTTGTAAACATGTGAACTTGGGATGCCGGTAAATTGAAGGAAATTGAAAAAAGTTTTCTGTTGCTGCGTGAGAACAAAACAAAAAACTATTTGAGCAACTAACTTAAAAAATGAGCAACTTCTTTACCTGGCGACGAAATACACCACAGAATGTGCAATTATTCTTCAAACCAATCAACTTCACTATCTCATCCATTGTCCATCCATACAACTCTTTATACGAAACAACTTTCAGAGGAAGTCCATACTGAAATGGTGTAACAACAAGAAGACTCTTAAAATTTGACAAGAAATGCAAAAACGCTAATAGAAAAGGATACGGTATCAAGAAAACCCCTACAACAAAAAATGAGAAATTATTACTTCTCAAAAGGATAAAGCTTATGGTAGCAAACAAATGATTCCAGCTTGAAGAACGAAACATATACATTTGGAACATAAGTAACAGAAAAAAGTGCAATGATTTTTACTAGTATTGAACACCAGAAGCATGAAAAAGCAATTGTTGAGAAATGTGAAAGTCTAGATTTTACATACTGCAAATTCCATGTTAAGTTCAGGTACCTGCATACACGAATAACAGACTTTTCCAACCAGCATAAATGTTATGCTCTGTGCAAATTATTTCCTACACTCAACACAGATTCACTTAACAGTGGAAGATATGATTCGATTAAAATGCTATACAAAATTTTAAAAATGAAAGAACAGTCTCTGTGCAGTGCAAGCTACTCCTTAATTTTGCACCAAGCTAGCAAGTTAATTGCTTGAGTTTAACACTGATAAATATTTTGGTTTGCACGGTTCAAGAGTAAGAGCTCAATTACATAAACCAAGAAGAAAAGGAATTCAGAAAGCAAGATACTTCACCTGGATTTCATTTCTTTTAACAGTTTCGAGCGAGTCGTCCCTATAACCAGTGATTCCTTCATCAACTGAAAGGAGGAAGAGATCCAGGCCATAATTATGTCTACGATTCAATTCTGACAATACATAAGCAAGCACCGTGGAATCTGCACATAGCACGGAAGCCAGTTAAAAATACTAGTAAAAGGTTTATCCTTAATCCACTTCATATGTTATGAATACGAAAATTTCAAAGGAGAAGCTTTTAAGCCAATCCATTTTAATTAATCTCTAATAAGCTCTATAAAATAAATAAGCATTGAAATACAAATCCAAATTTCTCACCTTTTCCTCCAGAAGCTCCGATTGCAATACGCTCTCCGGGCTTGAAAATTTGGTTCTCTACTATTACTTTGTGTATTTCATCTTCAAACACCGCATAAAAACACTCTCTGCATATCTTTTTCAAAGAAAAAAATAAGATTCTCTTCATCTAAGCCTCGAAAAAGATAATAAAAGAA